TTAGCACATAGCAGTGTGCCTGGTACACAGTTCTGGAAAAAGTGAGTGGAGATTCTCAGAACCAGATGTGACCTTAAAAATATTTATCAATCTGAATGGCAGTAGGCACTGACCAGACATAATGGGCATAATGGCTATTGTACCATCTGGAGCCCTGCCTGACAGTTATTACCTCTTAGTTGCTGGATTGTGGAAAGGTCCAGAGAGGGTGATGGTGTGGTAACCATCTGCCCCTTTACTAAGAGGGGAAATGGCTATTGATCAAGCGACATGGAAGAATTTTAATATTTTAACAAGCAGTAGCGTTATGCGAGGGTGGACACAGCATGTCAGCCCTGATTACCACGGCCAGTGAGGAGGTAGGGAAGGTATAGTCCCAATCCTGTAAATGAAGAAATTGAGGTGCAGAGGAATTAAATGACATCTGCAAAGTCATGAGGTTAATAACTGACCACATTTCTGAAGCCAAGTGCTTTGATTCATGGGATGACACAAGCTGCATATGTTACCACATGGGCCTTGTTGTGAGGCGTTTATAATCTTGGAAAGATAGGCTTACCTGTGTAACATGCATGCTATAAACAAGAACATGCCTGGAGAGCCCAGAGGCTGCAGGGTGTAGAGACGGGAGCCCCACTGTCTGAGAAGCTTCCTGGAGGAGGTTGACAAGCCCCAAGCCTCTAAAGATAGGAAGGATTTAAGATGTCAGGGCGAAGAAGGGAGAGTGAGCTGAGAGGATGGGTGGGGAGGTAAGACTGGGGCATTAAGAGACCCTGGATCTGGCTTAGGGAGTGGTTCTCCTCGGTGAGCAAAGAGACCACCATTTCGTGGGAAAAAAAAAGACATTGTTGCTTTTCTCTTCTGGTCATTTATTTGTATGGCCAACAGGGACAAGTCAAGTCACAGAGAAGTCTTAAAAGGTTGTCTGACAAGAGAAGGACAATGGCATTTGTTGAGTAAGACAATCACTGACTGAGGGCTGGGGGGTCTAAAACTCTGGTGTCAGGCCATGGAGCCTGCATCTAAAGGCAGTTACCATCTGCTATGACAGAATGTTTGTGTCCCCGCCAAATGCATATGTTGAAATCCTAACCCCTCAATGTGATGGTGTTAGGAAGTAGGCCTATTTGGAGGTGACTAGGTCACAAAGGTGGAACCCTCATGAATGAGATTGACGTCCTTATAAAAGAGACCCCAGAGAGATCCCCTAGACCCTTTTGCTATGTGAGGACATAGTGACAGTCCAGCTGTCTATGAACCAGAATGCAGGTCCTCACCAGACATGGAACCTGTATCTTGGACTTCCAACCTCCAGAGCTGGCAGAAGTAAATGTTTGTTGTTCATAGGCCAGTCAGTCTATGGTATTTTTGTTACAGCAGCCCACACTGACTAAGACATCATTTATGCTGCACGACATGGTATTAGATGCTGTATCCTTTTGTTTATTGTCTGTCTCTCCCACTGGAATATCAGGTCCAGGAGGCTGGGGTCTCTGGTTCACCACTGTCTCTCTAGTGTCTGGAAGGCAGTTTGTGTTCCAAAGGGTAGCGAGGAAGTGTGTCCTTGGAGCCACCCTCTCAGTTGAAGCTCCCTGGGATGGGCAGAGTTCAAGGTTATTAGCAGGTCTTGCTTGGCGTGGGCTCAGGAGCCCTCTAGATCTGCAAGGTTCCCCAGCCTCTGCCTGCTGGTTGAGGCCTTTCCTGGGAGCAGGGACCTTGGTAGCTCCGCAGAAAGACCCCAGGTTTTCAGACAAACATCTGGCACTGAAAGGGCCCTGAAGCATTTTCCCTTTAGCATGCACAGTTGCCAGAAGTGGGTTTCCTCCTGCCTCCAAAACTAAGAAATGGGTTAAGCCCTTACATACCTTCCATGGCATCATCGGCACTACTTTGACAAATTCTCAAGGTTAAGAAGAATGTTTTTCTTTTGTACTCACATACGTTTGTGTCTGCATTATTCTCTCCCTCAGAGCCATTTTGTGTGTGTGTGTGTGTGTGTGTGTGTGTGTGTGTGTGTGCTTATGCACATGCAATTTCAAAAGCATCCTGCACGTCTGAAAGCATCTCCCTCTTGCGCTGGGGCAGGTGGTTTTGAGGGGCTCCCTCATCTTCCTACTCCATAGCATCTCTTGCTAGCAGCAAGCCATTGGAGCTTTTCACCAACTAAATTGGAAAGTAGGGTTCCATTAAAATGTTTTCCAGCTCTAGTATTAAATAAATTTGCTTGGTGGTGGTTTCTATTACAGATGAATGAGGATCACCCTGCTCCCATGCCCCCACTCTCATCAAATTTTAAATATAATATTGAAACAAACTCAAGGGCTTTTTCTTGGGCCATCTTTGTAAGTAATTTGCAGGCAGCTTCTCTTAGGGACAACGGGAAGGGAAAAAAGTGATTTGAACAGCTTTGGTCATGGCAAAAGGGCTATTCCATTTCAGCACATGACATGCAGGGCCATTTGGAAAGCAATGGCAACAACCACCTGTCCCCCGGTCATGGGCCAGGTGTGTTAGGTCAGCAGAAGAACTTTAAGTCACATGGAACTTGATGTATGCATGGGCACCATTTTGAAAATCAGGAAAAGTTTGTTGGTAATTAATTTAGAATATTTCAAATGAAAACACATGTTCTTTAGAGCAGGGGAGAGAGTACAGGCAGCATTAGACTTTGTGAATGACACTAATAACAAGAATACAGAAACGCCTGGGACAGGCCCTTTCGATTCAAGGCTCAGGCTGAGGTTGTTGCTCTAAGGACAGCCTGTACCCTTTGTTCAAGCATCCATCATTCTGGAATCTAAAGTCAAGGACACTTACTTGCAAAGACACAGACAGCTGAAGACGGAGCTTTGAGGCCAACCCTCAAGAATTTGAAGTCATTTTACTTACGTGTGTGGCCTACTTTAAATAAACAAAAGCTGGACTCTGTGTGTTTGTTACTCCAGCTTTGGTAGGTGATTTTATTTTGTCTTCCTTTGGGAAGAGATAAAGTCCCAGACCTCCATGTATAGTCCCAGTTACAACCAATGCTGGAAAGTTCATGGAACAGAATGTAGGCAGAAGATGCGTGAGGCGGGGCAGGCTCCTGTCTTGTGCCCTGTCGCTTTGATGTACAGTGTAACCCCACCCATTATATATGTATCTCACATAAACATTTTGAAAATAAATAGCAGAATCTGAATGACTTTTCAAAATATCCTCAGTCTTTATCAGAGAGAAAACTCTTCTAAAAAACATTGCTTTAGGCAGAAACGTAGAAACTGCAAACTGCCTTCGGCCACTAGGGCCTCTCAATGGTTCCAGTTTACTCTTGTGAACACAAATGAAGGATGACATTGCAAAAAATAAAAATAAAAAAATAAAAAATCACTGCAGCAGCCAAGGCAGGTTTTGGAGACATGACCAAGAAATGGCAAAGGTCGGAATAGAACACTTGGCCGTTTATGGTATGAAATAATTTTCAGTTTTACACTATTAAAAAAAAAAAAGGCCAGACTTATGTAGAGCAGAAGGAAGTCCTTCTGTGCTCTGCTCTGAACTGCAGAACTGTGTCTGCAAGTGAGACCTGGCTTCCTGGCCCTGCCTGTGACCGGTGGTGGCCACCAAGGTCGTGACTGCTGGCTAAATCCGGTTCTAACAGGACGCAGACTATCTGGGAGGAATCAGTCAGCTAAGGGCAATTGTAGTAAATTTGAAATGGGCAATTAAGAGGCTTCTGGGGTTCCAGACAAGCCTCTGCAGGGAGCTGTCACTAGCAGGCTTTCTTTCCTTTCTGTCCTCCACCCCTGGTTTTGTCCTCACTGCACGTGGGTGAAGTGTAGAGCTGCCCAAACAAAGCCAGGCAAGCAGGCCATAAGCCAGAGCCCAAGGCTGGTGTCCCATGAGGAAGTCCCCGCCTTCATTCTTCCAAGGCCGTGGGTGACATCGGGGCCTCCAGTTCCCGCCTCACCAGGTTCAGCAGGGCCTGTGCGGTGTGGATTGTGCAACCCAAGGCAGTGGACGCTGACCTGAACCCCATGTACTGTTCCTACAGGGAATGAACAGAGGTCTCTTTACACTCTTCAATGTAGCATAGGGAGAAAAACTTCCTTCTACCTGCTTAGGTTCTGTGGCTGCTCTAAGAATTTACTAACAGATTAACAGGAGAAAAGCATACTAATGTAACAAATTTAATATTTTTCCATGTATATGGGAGTCTTCAGAAGGAAAATGAAGACCCCCAAGAAGCCATTAAGCCCCAAAGCTAATATGCCTTTTTCACACCAAGAAAGAGAAATTGTGAGATTGGTAGTGGCAGTAAATTGTGGGACAGTGACTAGAAAATACATGGAGGAAGCTAGTGAAAGATCACGGTTATTTTAGTAGCTTTGGTTTGTACAGGTCCATTCCAGTATGGACCCCATCTCTGGTGGTAAGAAGGTGCTTTTCTTCCTGGTACCTGGAGGGCACCTTTCTCGCGGGGAGTGGGGGGCGGTACTGACCTGCTTTTAGGTAGAAGAGGAGAAGGCAGAGAACACATTTATTGACTCTCAGTTGCCTTCAACTCAAAATAGTCAATATGCGAATATTTGGGGGGCATGGTTTGAACCCCTTCAATAACAGTGTCATGATTTCATGCTTGACCACAGAATTTGACCTTCCCACATCTCAGTTTGCAGGGAGACTGAGATGCACTAAAGGGAGTAATTGCAGGAAGAAGACCTTCTAGGCACAATGTTTTCCTTTGCATGATCAATCCAGACTCAGCGTGGCCCCCTGGACCCTCTTCTCATAAAGGGGGCCGTCCTCCTGGGGCACACTGAGCTCGTGTTAATCTGCAATTCAGATTTCCCTGCACTCCTGCCATTTCACAGCATTCCGGCTGTCAGCTTCTACATAGTCAGAGCTTATACATGGTCTGTACCTGCTGACAAAACCTCTGTGTTAGAGTCCCAAGTCCCTATGGCACCAACTCTTATTAGTGGGGGGAAAAAATTCCAAAATAAAACACCATCCAATCATTTACCTTAACAAAAGATTTATTTGAAACAGGTTTGTGCAGACATACACCAGTCAAAAGGATTGATCAAAGCCACAAATCACTACATTTTCCAAAACGTCTCAAAATACAAGTAAATGCCCTTCATTTGTATTCACTCCAGGAGGGACCCCAGCTCCGCTGTAATGTGCTGCTGTAATTTAACGACCAGAGGACCTTAATAGGAAGTGAAAATGGTAACACTTCTAGAGGGAGGGAACAAAAAACCTCGGTCCACAGAAGTGCTCACCGCTCTGCTGGGAGCCAATTAAATGTGCCCCCACAGCCCCACTTCTCTCTGCATAACCAGATTAAAACCTCCTCATCACAAACAATATTTAAGCAACCTGAGCACAGATGTGACAGCAGACAGGAATGCAATGGCTTGGCTTGCATGAGAAAGACACCACAACGATGCTGCGTTCATTGGAGCAGTAACTCAGTGCTCTGCAAGAAAGGTTGACCCACTGGGGTTGCAGGCCCTGCTGCTCCTGGCTGGCCCTGTCGGTGCCACCCCTGCAGGTGTCCCGGCTGCACCTGCTTGCATTACCTGCCCTTGGGAGGGAAGCTTGGAGGCGCGCAGCCCCGCACACTCATGAATTTCGCAGTCACTGGCGGCATGGGAAAGGGAAGGCGGGGTAAGAGTGTCAGCACTTGCATTGGTTTTATTACTGAAAAACTAAAAGAATATTTCCTTGTTCAGGGCTCTTGTTAGGAGGAGAAATGCTCTATGACAGGGCAGGTTTTCTGTTGCAATTTTTTTTTTTGTATCGGTGTTTATTGATCCAGCTGCAGCTGTGTACCATGCTCTCCTTAGGAATTCGACTGACTCCAATCCCAGCGGAAGTGGTTTCACATCCTGATATTTGGGCTTCTTTCTCCTCTCTGGTCTTTTCTCTTCCCCACTGAAGAGCTTGCCTACAAAAGGCCCTTGATAAGCTCTCTTGACCCCTGAGTTCCCTGGGCAGGGTTATTTGGATAGTGCTATTACTTCAACTTTCTTCTTCCTATTTCTGTCATAAATCAAAGCCTCCTGACACTTGCTCCTGACTTTTAAAACGAACAGGTCTCCTTTCTTTCTTGAGCCAGGTCAGAAGAGATGCCGATGGGCTAATCTTGGGACGTGTTTTTCTTGGTCTGATGCCTGGGAGAGAGAGCCAAGTAGGGATCTCTAGGGCAACTGGGGCAAGAGATTGTCACTGGAAAATGGGCCTACCTGGGTGTGAAAAGAATCAGCCTTTTGTCTCCCCTCAGTCAGGGGAGCAGAGGTGTTTGTCAGAGCTAGCAGCTAATGGAGTATGCTGGGGGTATGGTAACAGGGGAACATGCCCCTCTTTTCTGCTTTCATTTCCTTCGTAGCATCTGGCCACCTCGGTTTATGTGGGTGCGGCAGCCCTGCCTTTCCACTGAAGTCTGCATCCCAAGTCATAACTCACTCCTACCCAACACACGAAGAGAGCGCTTCATGGAGGTCTGGCCTTAAATGAAGCACTTGTAAAGGGGAATGAAAATGTGTGCTGGGGGACAATTTGGAGTGCAGAGAAAGAGATAAATGATGAGTACAACACATCCAGCAGAGCATTCCAGGTCTATTCCCTGTGGGGACACTTTTTAATATCATTTTGGGGAATCTTGGGCCCTTGCCTCTACGACCCATGGGGACCTTTTTAACTGTCCTCCTTGCCCTTCAAGATGGACAAATGGCTAGTATGCGGCTAAGTACTCTCCCCCAAGGCTGTCTTGAGGCAAATAACGGCCCTGAGCCCATGAAAAACCAGCAACAAAAGCCAAGTGATGTATGCTTCCCCCTTTTTTGGTGTATGTGGGGAGCTTTAGTTCCATGATCTCCATCACTACTGTATTTGCTAATTTCAATATTTGCATCAAGTATTTAATGACTATGATGGGGGATGCCACCTTTTGACTTGACCTGATAAACTCATTTCTTTGCCAAGATATTATTTCAGGCTCTGCTTAACCATAACCACAGTTTCCCTGTTCACATTTTTTATGGATCCCAGGGGATGAAGGCTACATTTCAAATGCTGAAGCTAAATCACTCCTTGAATTACGTTGGGACAATGACCCTGGGCAGTAACTCAAATCCTGGCTGAAACATGTGCGGTTCTCTCAAAAGTCCAAAACCAAAGACAACCTTATCCTAGAACAGAGTTTTGCAAACATTCTACTCAACTTAGGGTCTAAGACCTAAATCCCTAGGAGCAGGAATATGATCGAACGTTTTTGTCCTTATGGTTTGAAAAATACGATAAAGTGTCATTGTTACAACAAATAGAAATTATAGACTATAGCTTTCTTTTTAAAAAAAATTCAACCTTAAAGCCTGAAATATATATGTCCACATGCATTTTCAGATATTAGTTACCTACACTCACTTTTTTTTTTCATTATTCACGGCTTCTTGACAAGTTATTACTGATTTTCACTGCCAGCTCCCTACAGCAAGACCTGAAGACTTGTCAAGGAAAAGAAAATGTCAACAGAATTCTCCGCCTTGCTCTGCCGAAACCCAGGTGCACGTTTTAGGATATTACCTCACGAGGGTTAAAGAAGCAGCATCTCCTATCTCTAAAGCACACGTCCTGTGGGCTACACCGATCCAGAGGTCATCACACGTGTGCATGTGTGTTGGGAGATGAGACAATGTACCACTGGTGTAGAGACAGGCTAGGCACAGCTACATCCCCAAATTCTTACAAAGCCCCTTCTGATCGGCCTTGAGGTGCTAACCCAGACAGCCAAGCAGATGTGGCTGGTGGCTCTGCTCTCCCCTCCCCGCTTTTCAGTGTGCAGGTTCCATAGCCACCCTTGCCCGCCTGTGCCGGCGTGGAGCTGACCTCAGAATAAGTACACAGAATGGCTGGTCTCCTTCTGCAGTGTCAGCGGAACAGGACATGAGCTCAAACAAGAGCTGGTAATCTGTGTGCACCACCAGACCCAGGCTGGGCCTGAGTGCATTCTGACACTCTAGTCCAATCCAGAGGCAGGCCCGGTGGTGCTGACCGAGTGTGACCTGCCAGCCTTTGTGTCACTTACCGTGTGGCAGAGTGACAAGTCCCATGTGGCGAGTCCACTGAGCTGACAGCGAGAGTATGCAACTGAGTCCAGTCCACCCTGCTCCCTGGGGCAGGGTTGAGTGTGACACTCTGACCTCAATTTAAAGGTAGGACAAATGACAGCGCCTGAGCCGGCCCCGGCTAAGTATTACACATCGCATGTACTGACAGCTGCTCCTCCTAGAAACCCAATTTAGTCATTTGGCTACAAGATAGCTTAATTACAGGAGAGAATAAATAGAAAGGAATCGCTTCTACTGTTTTCTTTGGTGTGTGTATTTCACTATTGTAAAGACTGTTTAGTCTACTTCTCAAGAGAATTGGAAAATATTCTTAAATCTCAGAAATGTGAATGGTATTTTAATGTAAAAAGAAAATAAAAAACAAAAAGCCCCAAACAAAAACACACACACACACTGTAATTCACAAATCCGATTCAGAAGGCTTCAAGTTCAAGAAAGAGCTAAGTGTTTGACAAAGAATTGAGTTTGAGTTCCCTTTTTTCCAAACGGGCTTAGTTCCAAATGAAACCAAATCGTCAGAATACCTAATGCACATTCAATTCTAATTTCCATTTCTCCTCAACAATTAGACCATCGTCTTTCTGGCTATGTCATAAAGACACACACCTTGGTTTATTAATTATTTGGCTTTTTTTTCCTTTCTCTTTTTATTTTATTTTTTTTGGTAATTCCTGCATGATATTCCTTTAGTGATTCATTTTGCTGGGTGCTCTAGTATTTTAAATGTTCTGTCACTGGGGAGGAAGGAGACGCAAATCTCTAAGCCTCACCTGTTAGTTGTGTTGTCCTGCTGCACCTTGTGCCCTCTGGATCCTGGGCACCTCATAAGTGAGGGGTTAGTTTTCTTAGTCACTGCAAATCATACTCTAAATGACTTCAATGCCCAATAAGCTGTAGGTGTCCCTAAAATAAAGGATTAGGAAGCAAAGTGCATTATTGTTTTATATCCTAACTTAGCACAGCCATTCCCAGAGGAATTGTGCCACTATAACCAGTAACAGCTGCCCAGAAGTATTTATGTTAAATTATCCAAAAATTGGGTTTGGCAACCAAAGCAGAGAAGAGAGAATGTGCCTCAGGGCTGGTCGTTTATGAAGGGCTCCAGGTACTCACATTCACTGCCCAAAGGCATCCAGGTTCTGTCCAAATTTAGAACGGGGACTCTGCACTTCGGAAAGCCAATGACTTCCTCAATTTGGAGTCAGGACACTTCCCACAGCGGGCGGTGCCTTCATCTAACACTGACTGGACAAGGAAGGAAACCTTGTCAATACATAAAGGGTGATTCCTTGCAATGTTTGGGATTCTTTTCAATTAAAAATGCAGGTCAGCATCTTGTTTAACCTACCAGACAGATTAGTCTGATCAGGATGATTGTCTGGGCCTCAGGGTTTGAGTTCCGAGTTTCTACTGAGATTTCCTCTCCCATGGTGGTCTTCCTTTGCCACCCTCAGGGTCCCATACTCTCCCACCTGGGTTTGCTCATCTTCTCTGGTCCTAAAGCTACAGAGTGACAGGTGTGTTCCTTCGCTGGGAAGACATGCTATAAATTCATTCCTTTCCCAATAGTGAAAATCCAAAATGCACTCTCAACTCCCAAGAAGACAAGCGTGGGCTCTAATTTAAGCGGATGCCAACAGTCGCGTCGTCTAGAGGCTGGGAAACCAGTACTGAGAGCCTGATCAGGGCAGCAGAGTCTCCACCACCATCCTGAACCCAGGCTTCCCTGTCACCACAAAGAGGCAGGCGAACGTTTAGAATCTATGCGGAAGAGCTATGTTTCTTTTCTTCAGTTATAGAAGGAAAAGGGTGGAAGAAGGGGTGTCTCGCATCCTTGGCTGGATCTGCGATAGAACGAGGAAGAGTGCGGATTCGGGTCATTGCCCACCAGCTGCCATGCACGGAGCACAGTGGCCAGCCATGCAGGGGATGAGGAACCTGGGCAGCAGTGGGAGGGCTGGGTCAATAGGGACCTGGAACGGGTGCAGAAGACTCTGCTAGAACACCGACTGGCTTGCCCCACTAGGCATGTGGCTAAGAGGTTCAAATAAATGTTCTCAGGTTTACCACCCAGCTATATATTTTTATGCTTTCATTGCAATCAAGAAGTTTATGCCAACTTCATATAAACAAAATAGGAATCAAAGCAAGACAGCGACCTGCCTAAAATGAAGTTTATATACTGCCCGGTGGACTTAATCTGTGAGTTAACAAAACAGGAAGTAAGCGTGCCCCTGCTCCCTTCTGCAAGATGGGTTTCTCACGCAACATAAACCTCTATTACCTTTTCTCCCAGAACAACTAGTACTGATGTTTCAATATCAGTGAAACATAATGTTTTTAATTTCACACCTCACAGAGCACATAGTTGAATGCTTCATAACAACGTAAACAAAAGTTAGGCCAAGCACTGCAGACAATTTGAGAGGGGAAAAATGGCTTCCCCCGCAGGATATACTCCAGGTTTGCGAGGGAATATATATAACTAACAAACTGGTTGGCTAAGGCCACAGAAATGTGTTTTCCGGTGTTTTGGCTGCTGACACCAATCTCTTCTGACAAAGATGTGTGAACGCTGGGTGCAACAAATCGCATCTCTTTCTAGGATCCATCAGGAGAATGCGACTCATTTTTTCCCCTCGATTTCGAGTCTTATTTCTGCCTCGATTTCTTTTTGGTGGTGTCGTAAGCACGCACGATTTCTTCCTGAGTGACAGCTCCATGCTCTTCTTGAGAGAAGGCATACCCATCTGAAAAGAAGCACACAGGAAGAAGGGGTGAAGAGGAGAATGTGGGGCATGCACTAGGTTTGGAAGAAGCTGCTTTTGGGGAGACTGCAGCTGAGCTTCCACACACATTGGCCCCATCAGCCTGGGGTCCCTGGGGGCCTGACACAGGGAGCCTGTGACCCAGAAGGGGAGCGTGGGCAGTGTGGGTGTGGTGGCAGGATGCAGCCTGAAGGGCTGGGTCCCAGGGGTTCTGGATGCCGCAGCTGATGCTAGATTGGGAGTGGTGCTGCGGGGCAGCCTCCTATTTTGGGGGCTGTAGCTGAGTTCAGCCTGGGAAGCATAAACAGTGGGTCACTGGTCCATGTCTGCACTTTCCCGCACCAATCAAGAGGAAAGGCCGTTGTTCTGCTCCGGAAATATCCCAATGTGCCCGAAGCTGTATGCTGGCTGGGTAATTTATGAAGCTGTAAACATGCTGGTTGAAAAACATGCACGACACTAATAGTGAACGCTGGCAATGGGCATGTGATGCTGGGAGAGTTCCTGCTTTTAAATTGGGCTGATTTGGACGGGTAATAAGAAATTACAGTGGGTTATTTTTGTGTAAACAAAGACAAAGATCACAAGTTAAAGTCAAGAGGAATTTAGTAATTGGCCCCCATGGCCATAGGAAGACTGGTTCTTATAATCAGTTCTAATAATAATAATAATAATAATAATAATAATAATAATAACTGCAGCCAACAATTATTAAGCATTGTGTGCATCAGGCACTGTTCTATGTACTGTGCACAAATAACTCATTTATTTCTCCTAACAGCCCTCTGAGATAGGTGATAGTATTGTTCCCATTTCTCAGATGGGGAAACTGAGGCATGGGGTGATTTCATGACATGGCCAAGGTCACAGACCTACTGAGTGGCAGAGCTGGGAGCCAGCCCCAGGGAGTGTCTCTGCAGGCCCCTCATGCTCCTGCATCTCCAGGTCTGAAAGAGGCTTAGCATTTGTGAAAGACGTGGGGCTTTCTTTCCTTAATGACCCTTCCCACAGATGGGACATTTACAAGACTCCTTCTCCATGGGCCATCCCTTCTGGGTTAGGGGTATGGAAAAGTCCCACAGCTGGACTAGACATTCTAACCAAAGACAACACAGTGAAAAGCCTGACAGTGGCGACTGCCACCCATGCATATTTATGACTGATAAACAGATGTTAATTCGTTGTCATTCTTTCAAGGAGGAAAGAAATCAGAAATTGTGCCCATGGATCATCTCCTGGATTGTTAATTATTTTATTCAGACATTTGCCTTAAAAAGGAGTTTCTGGAGTATAAAGAGATAGAATAGCAATGTATAAGAGAGTCTTTGTGGGGAAGGAGAAGAGGAAGAGACTTCAAAAGATGGTTAGGGTGACTTCTTCCTCTGAGTGTGCCCGTAAACTCAGCGCTTCTGTCTCTGGGCTGGCTTCCTGGTTCTTCTGGAGAGCGTGCCTTGTAGCTACCGCCTGAGAAAACTCGAGAGTGCAGGAAGGCTGCTCTGGGAGGCCAGGGCTTGTCTGCAGGGTGGGCTGGGGGCCGATTGAGGACATGGCTGGGCAACAGGGAGCAGGCAGAAGTGAAGGCAGAACAAGCAGCAAGCTTGACCCAGAACAGACAGTCTTCCACAGGGGACTCTTATCTACTCACTTACCTCCATCTCTAATAAAATCAAACCCACAAACCTCAAAATCCCACCCTGTATGGCAGCCACAGGAAGCAGCCCCCAGGTTAGTGTGAGCTCATCTTGCTAGGTACAGAGCAGGCGTGCCCTGAGCAGGAAGGCAGGAGCAAGCCTGCAGACAAGCTGCTGGCTTGTCTGGGCCCTGGGCCCAGTGCACTTGTACTTCCTCACGATGGGTTTCCACACAAGGAGGCTTTGCTTTGAGTCTCACTGCTTTAGAGGCCACTCGGATCTGAAGAGGAAACGCCTCCTCTCAACCACGTCCCCCCCTCGGAGCTTGTAGATTTTCCAGGAGTTGCTAGGATCAGAGATGACCAGGGCCCAGGAAACCTCTGTAATCCGGCTCCTGAGGGGCGGGCGGCTCCTGACCCTTGCCTCTGTCTCTGCCTCCCTCCCTCCCAGGTGGTGCTGAGCCACCAGCCTTTCCCAGCACAAGTGCTCTTTGTACAGTGTCTTCAATGCAGTTCTAGAAGAGATGCCTTGCCTTGGGATGTTTCAATGCAAATCTAGCAAATAACACTGTCCCCTCCAGCAACAAGGCTATGTACTGTGGTCATCTTGGACAATTTTTATTCTTACGGCCTTTGAAAGGGAACATTTTCCAGAGGGAGGCCCCACAGCAGCTGTCTTTGGCTCTGATGTGCTGCTGGAATGGCAGGCCTGCCACGGCTCAGTGCCACCCCAGGTTCACACTTCTCAACCCGACAGAAATGACTCTGGTCCCAAGCAATGGGCGCATCTTTTAAGTGCTTTTCATGAACCCTTCTGGGGCAGGCTGATGACTACTGAGCTGCCTACCCTGAAGATGGCTCTTCCACCTCTCCGTTTTCATCTTGGATCCGTGGCCCAGGGCCTGAGGCACCGGGCAAGGAGGGCCAATTCTAATCCTTGCTTGGCAGTAATTCCGTCATGGGACAGTGGGCTCTTTCTCTCTGGCTCTTCCTGGTTTACTTTTCTATAAAACAAACACCTAGACCAGGTGAGGTCCAGGTTCTCACAGCTCCAGTCCTTCATGTGGGTGCCAAGGCTTGTCCTGGCTAACTGTACCCAGAATCCTGTCCTTCCTTCAGGGCTCACTGACACTTGGCACCCATGGGGGAGTCCTTTAGCTCCACACCAGAAAAGAAAGGAGCCTGTCACAACAATTAGTCCAATCTGCTACCTGTCCTTTTGGATATGTTGTGGTTTTTTTTCGGTGTGTGCGTGCACGCGCGTGCGTCTGTGTGTGTGTGCGTGTGTGTGTGTGTGCGCGCGCGCGCGCGCGCGCGCGCGCGTCGGGGCGGGGCGGGGAATGAAAGGAACTTCCTAAGGCATGAACACTGTTTGGGAGTGTCCTTTTGGGAGGGGCATCTTAGTATTTGGAATTGTCTACTCTGTTCAAATGGAAGGAGCAGAAGTCTGGCCGTCTGTGTGTGCTGTGTCTCATTCATATCCTGCCTGAACCAATGGGAAGCCAACTGCAGTGGTTTCTTCCGCGTGTTGCAGTGAAGCGCCCTCAGCTCGCATCTACCTCACCAGCACGAGGGACTTCCAGTGGGATCCCTCAGCCACTCAGTCTCCAACAGAAGACATGGCAAAGGGGAGCTTCTGGTTGAACTGCAAATCTCTTCCCCCGGGGCGAGCAGAGCACCCAGAGGTCACTGCCAAGTGGTACTCTGTCAGTTGCCATTGGTTGCAGCTGCTATCATATTTCCAGAATGTTGTGCACCAAGACGTCCAGAACCAGACTTTCATAACCTCAACTGAGACTTAAAGTGGACTTTGCAGTTCAAGAACAAAAGGGAGATGGCCTGATGGGGTTATCCTGGGGTTAACATGCCTGGCTCAGATAAAATATTTTCCTCTTAGAAACCAGGCCTGGTGGGCGCATAATGGGAGATATTTGGTTGGGACAGCGGGGACCATAACCCTGTGCCGGCCCAGCTTGCACCCTCAGCCTGACAAAGGTGCGCCATCCGTTCAGCAACTTCTGCCTGATGAACATTTAACTGCCATTGTTATCCAAACAGGGAACACTTAGCGTCTCCCACGGCCATGCATATTTCAGGAAGTCCTGACAGCCTGAAAGTGCCAATGGCACCTGGAGAAAGCGTCCAGTAGACCCGGCTCGGAACTCTCCCTGGCTGGCCTCCTGATGAATCTGCCTCTCACATCCTCAGCCACAGCCAGAACCCGGGGACAGATAGAGTAGGTGGAAGGAGATGGAAAGGTAGGTGAATGTCTTAGTTATTTTGACTTTTCTGGTAGAACATTTGGTGAAGTTTAAAAACTCATGTCGGTTTTTTTGTGTGTTTTTTTCCCATTATTTTGGAATACAACTCCCCTTAGGGAGTAGAAATGGGGAAGACCATGGATTTTAAGGGTGTTAAACATACAGCTGATCTCAGTTACAAACTGGGTGTTGGTGGCCCATAAGGAACCACAAGTACCACCAAGATTAGAGGCTTTTGTCCAGTTTTCTGGGAAGAGTAAGGCCCCAGACAGCTGAAGGACGGACCCAGGAGGGATGGACAAGGGCCGAGACGAGCTATGCAGAACTTCCTGCATGTGGTCCTAACTGCTTGATGGCCTTCTCTAGTTGCTAATGATAGAAACATGCGATCAGGTTCTTACTACGCATTGCTGAGTGTTCATGAAATGTGGCGTGACTTTAGTAAACTGTTTTACTTCTTGTACTTGCTTGTTAGAAATTTTTGTCCTTCAAAATACTCAAGAGTTAAGCAAAATGTTCAGTAGTGGTTTTAAGACATTTTATGACTCTCTCACAAAAGTTCTCACTTGGTCTTGTATCTATACAGTTGACTCTTGAACAACACAGGTTTGAACTGTGCAGGTCCACTCATATGCAAATTTTTTTCAATAAATACTATAAATTTATTTTCCTTATGATTTTGTTAATAACATTTTCTTTTCTCTGTCTTACTTTATTATAAGAATACAGTATATAATACATATAACATGCAAAATGTGTTCATGGGCTGCTTATATTATTGGTAAGCTTCTAGTCAACAGTAGGCTATTAGTAGTTAAATATTTGGGGAGTGAAAAGTTATATGAAGATTTTCGATTGTGTGAGGGGTCGGTGCCCCTAACTCCTGCATCATTCAAGAGTCAGCTCTGTGTGTGTGTGTGTGTGTGTGTGTGTGTGTGTGTGTGTGTATCACATATATTCTTTCTATGGTTACTTTGAAACATTTATGAGACCAGCAGCAAGCTCCATGGCATGAACCAGCATGCATTTTCTCTGTGTCTGGTACAGAAAGAGTACTTGACCTACGTCATCGTGAAGCCTCACAAAGACTGAGCAAGATTATATGACTATAATTCTATTTTTTTCCCAGAGGAGAAAACAGAAGTTTAGAGAAATACAGAAGTTGCCCCAAGTTACTCAACCAGTGGTAGGAAAAAAAAAATTAATACCTCACATTTACTGGACTCTGTATTGTCAGGCACTATTCTGGGCACTTTACATATACAATTTCATTTAATTCTCCCAATAACCCCAGGTAGGTTCTCATATCATCTCCATTTTACAGATGTGGAAACAGAGAGGAAACATTTTACAGATGTGGAAACTTGCCTAAGATCACAAAAAAGTGGCCGAGGCGGGACAGGACCCCAGGCTGCTCAGCTGTAGAGACAGGGCCCCACACACCTCACTCCTTGGATTTCCCCATCACCCCTCCTGCCTTGACCTCTCTCTCAGATCACAGGCATCACAGCTGTGATCCAGGCTGCTGGGCTATGCTGGGCCAGTTACTCTACTGACCTGAGCCTCTGCCAGGTGCTCTGGGGCTGACACCGCCGACCTCCTGGGGCGGTGGAGCGCAAAAAGACACCAAGCATGTGAGGCTCAGTCTCCTTTCTCCCATGCTGATATTGCACATGGGAAAGTGAGCAGAGGGAGTGGATTACTGCAAGGCGATGATAGTCTACCCCTCTGCTCTCTCCACTGAGAAAGTCTGTGAAGATCTATTGACAGGTGGAGCTCAACTGAACTCAACATAGATCCTTGAATATCTGTTTGATGGGTACAATGATTTTTCACTTTTCCTAAACTGTTTTGGGTCTACAAGTTGTTCCCATCTGAACTCCTCAGGGAGAGAAAGGAGGACAGGAAGTGGGGCATGGGTTGAAGAGAAGGTGTGTGCACATGCAAGGGAGGGAATGTGGACTGGGGAGAGACGCAAGGTTCAGAGAAGCAGAGGCAGGGACTAAGGCAACCTGCACTCTAAGGACCCCCTCACCTGGGAGACGAATGGCAGGACTGCTGAAATGAGCCCACAACCTCCTCATGACCTCCGTCACCCCGTTTATCTTTTGTGGCCCCCGGTCCCTGCTCCCCTGGGTTCTGGTGCACCCCCAGAGTCCCCTGCCTGGGTCAGACCCCTTGGGCAGAAAGCAGGCATGGCCTCCTAGTGTTCAGAGTGGGGACACCAGTGCTAGACATAGGGCAGACTTCCTGGGAAAAGCAGAGGTTTTTTTCCCCAGTGATTGTCATTGTTTTCATTAACACAGTACTATGAAATAAAACATGGCATATTGCTATCTTTGGGGGAAACCATTTAAAAGTAATATCACTTCAACCTTAGAAAAAATACTACTGGGAGGCTGACAGAAGGATCTGAACCACATCCCGATTTGAAGTCTAAGGATTTTGTCATTCAAACATTTGACGGGGTCCCAGGGCGCTACCTATATTTAAGCTGCACTCGCCTTAGGCCAAACACCCGAATTCCACTTCCCAATGTGGGCTCCAGCTTGGCAGCTGTCTCCTTCCCTGTTAAGGCTACCCAGGCTTTACCTGGGCTTCCCACCTTCCCTGCGTGGTCGGGTCTGGCTGACCTGAGTGGGCTGGCCGTGACTACTTACGTGGGACACTCTGCTGGAGGGAACCTCCTCGGAAGAGAGTGGGGGGCGTCTTCCTGCTAAGCCTCTTTAACAAGCGGTCCCGCTCATTCACCCTGCAGGTAAATCAAACATGGTCAGGCTCTAATTTATGCGGACACATCTCAAAGGAACTCGCTGAATGACTTTAGGTTTTAAAATAAAACAGACGGGGGAAAACAGCTTCCTCACATCAAGGAAAACGTCCAGTTTCGCAAGCTGCCCCATTGTTTACAGTAGATGCTATCTCCACACTTGGAGTCCGCAGCTCCCGCTTCTAAAAGGCACTCTGTTTTCAGCCTGTCCTGTACACAACGCCTCTGAACGCTGTCTTCCTCCTAATTGAAGTTCCCTACAAGTGCCCTTTCATACCAGGCAAACACTTGGCTTCCCAGAACACTTTTGAAGAAGTGATCTGTTTCTATGGTAACGTCTTAAAAGCCTCAATCCCACCTGCAGCCGCCTCTCCTCCAGCCAGGAAACAGTACTGGGGCCAGCGCCTCGCCTAGGTGCCTCAGGACCCCAGCCACAGACAGACTTCTTTCCGCATAAGCTGATACTTATTTTGAACCACAATGAAAATCAAGGTGATTTTCTTTGAAAGCACAAGGATTAGGAGCTCTTCCTTTTTTTCCTGAAATGATTCCCTCTAAGGCTGCCATAGCTATGAACAGATATGGAGCTATCCTGGCACCATCTTCGCTCCTATAAAGCAAAGTGGGGGCTTGAAAATCATCCAGATGGGCCAAAGTGCTTTGATTTCTTACTGTCAAGAAGTCACTTTGCTTGTCCCCAAAGAGATTTCTAGTGTACAGGAGGTTGCCAATGCACTCTGTAATGGGCTGCATGTGGCCCCACACATACATATGTTGAAGGTCTAACCCCCAGTACCTCAGAATGTGACTTTGAAGATAGAGTCTTTAAAGATTTGACTACATTAAAATGAGGTGATTAGGTTGGGCCTCCATCAGTATGACTGGTGTCCTCATGAGAAGAGGAGATGAGGACATAGACACATGGAGAGGGCGAGGACCATGTGAAGACACAGGAAGAAGATGAATGTCTACAAGCCAAGGGGAGGGGCCTCAGGAGGAACCAACCCTGCCCACTCCTTGATCTGGGACTTCCAGACCCCAGAACTCTGAGACGATAATTTTCTGCTGTTTAAGCAACCCAGTCAGTGGTATTTTTGGTACGGCAGCAAATACACCTCCAATCTGCCATTTGTGGGAACCTGAGAGTTGTTTAAGGAGCTGCAGTAGTTTGTGATTCAAAGCACACCTCCCTGAACCCCATCTATGCACCTCAAGTCTGAGGAGAACCTTTTCCTGACCAGAGTCCACTTCTTAACTCCCCAAGGTCCTTCAAAAGAACAGCAGGACCCTAGGAATTCTCAACAGTTCAAGCTAAAGTTTATTCTGCACTTGGGTTCCCAGAAGAGAGTGCTTTCTAATTCTCTTGGTTGAAAGGACAATGTTTAATTCATCACGAATTAAAAGTGAGCCTCAGCCAGCTATGCTTGGCAAAATGTCTGATGGCTGATGAGGAAAAACATTTTTTTCTCTCCCTCCACACTGGCTTTCCCTTCCCTCTCATATCTTTCTCTTCTCTGGGCTAAATTCATCTCACTGGGCCCTGCTGAGCAACTGTCCTGGACTGCAGGCCCCAGCAGATGAATGAGGAGGGAGCCTGTAGGTGCCAGTCCCTCTGTGGGGCTGCTGTCACCTGGCCGGCTGCAGCTCCCCGCGCTGGCTGGTTTCAGGACATGGGGAGTGTAACGAAGGGCTGTCCTCACTGTGTGACCCAGCCCAGCCGTGATGCCTGCCCAGAAGGCACTGTGTGTAGAAGGGCTCCCTGAGGGCTGGGCTGCAGTGCCCCGGGGCATCCTTCCCAGCCAACGTGGCTGAAGAAGGCACTCTCTCCCCAGGAACCTAGGGGACAGACACAGGGCTACACTCTGCCACCAGGCCCCTTCTCTGTCCTGGCTGTTCCTGGTCCCTTCAGGGTTTCAGGCCCAGGCGCTCCTCCTAGCAATGGGGCTTAGGAGAACTTCAAAGAACCACACAAGTGGGAGGGGCTTTTGAAATCCCTCATCTTGGTCTCTCTCTGGGCAGGTGAAGAAACTCAGGTGAGGAGACTCAGATGTGACAAACACAAAGGTCATCGAGCAGTTTGCTGGCCTTGCTAGGAAGATGTTCCCAATTCCAACATGAAATGGCATACACTTTTCTCTCTCCTCCATCTTTTTGTAATGAAATATTCCAAACACACAGAAACAGTCAGAAACCAGTCCAGCAAGTGTGTACTAACCCACTTGGCTTTAGCAAATGGGTAGCACCACTCTTTGACCCCATGCTTAGAGGGATGCACTCCACCCTGCAGCCCTTCCTCCCACGTGGTGAGGGGTCCATCGGGCCACGGAGACAGGTCCGCCCAGAGCTCATGCCTGTCCTCCACCCAAAGTATTTGGAACCCTAGAGGTCCCTGCTCAGTGATCCCCAAACAGGCACCCAAGTCTAATTGACCCTCTTGCAAAAAGTAGACCAGATAGCCAGTGTCCACATTCCTAGGCCTGTGGGAGTGGCCAACGGGTGGTTTTCTGCATAGGATGTGTGGACTGATGTCCACCCACATGTGCACACATCCCCTCCCAGCACAGGACAGAACTGGCTCACACCTCAGAGAATCTGGGAACCACAAAGCACTGCTGTGTTATAAAGGTATATTCATCAAAGTATATAGCTAAATCAGTCCATTAGCTTGATTTGTAACTTCCACATATTTAGACGTGGTACATGGTCTCCTTTGTACTCGGGCACCAAGTCCTACAAATATCAGGAACAGACCTGGTTCTGGGAACTCCTTCAGATTTTAACAAAATAATAAAATCTCAAATATAAAGTCCCGTATACTCCTTCCTGATTCCATTCTTCTCCCTTCTATTATAATAAAGTTAGAAATCATCTTTCATTCATATTTCATACCTTTGATCTATATGTATGCATTAACATTACCATATAATTATGCTTTAAAATATGTCTAAATGGTATCATTTATCTTATGCTTCCAGTTTACCATATTTTTTCTTTGATCCTTCTTTTCTCCTTTCTTATGTTCTTTGTATTATCTTCTCACATAGAAAAAGTAATCTGTTTTTCCTTCTGGATGCTTTTATAGTTCTCTTCATCTATGGTGTTCTGCAGTTTCATCACAACACTTAGGATGATGGGTGTAGATTTATTTTTATATCCTGCTCATTTGTCATTAGGGAAATGCAAATCAAAGAGATAGCATGTATCATCTACTAGAATGGCTATAATAAAAAATGAACTGAAAACAGAAAATAAATGTTGGAGAGGATGTGGAGAAACTGGAACCCTAGCATATTACTGGTGGGACTGTAAAATGGTGCAGCCACTATTCTTCGATAAGTTCCACATGGAATGACTGCATCGGCCAGAAATTTCACTCCTAGGTATCCATCCAAAAGAAGTGAAAACAGACTCAAACAGATACTTGTACACCAATATCTATAGCAGCATCTTTCAGGATTGCCAAAAAAGATGGAAATAATCCATTTGTCTATCAACTGATGAACGGAAAAACAAAATATATCCATGGAATATTATGCAGCCATAAAAAAGGAATAAGTACTGATACATGCTTCACATGGATAAATCTTGAAAACATTATGGTAAGTGAAAGAAGCCAAACCCAAAAGGCCATGTGGTGCATAATTCCATTGATATAAAATGTCCAGAATAGGCAAATGTGTAGAGACAGAAAGGAGGGTGATGGTTGCCAGTTAGGGTGTGAAGTTATAAGAGTAGAATGGGGAGTGACTGCTCAAAGCAGTTTTCCTTTTGGGGAGATGACATATGTTCTAGAACTAGACAGTGGTGATGGTTCCGCAACATTATGAATCTACTAATGTACTAAATGCCACTGAAGAGTACACTTTAAAATGGTAAAATTTATGTTATGTGAATTTTACCACAGTTAAAAAAAAAGAAAATTCAATTAAAAAACAAAAAGGAGAGGGGAATGGTCCTGAATTAAGGTACATTCCTTCCCATCACATGCCCTATTGGTTTATTTCTCCAATGGTGGGGGGATGTTGGAGTTGTTGCTTATTTTGATGTTTTTCTATCTTAGCTTAGGCAGGTATGCTGATTGGGATCTACTGCTATGAAAGGTGCATAGAAACAAAAATTCACCAAAGGTACATGCACTCCCCAGTAATAATTATGCAACTCAATCTTACACAAGTCCTCACACTGGGCTCTGTGTAGAGGCTGACATCTCTTTGAGGGGTGTGTGTGCCCTGTCTCAAAAAATGAGCAGTGTTAGGAAGGAGTGGAGAGCTGGGAAGCCTAAAGTTGGGGAATAATAAACTCTATGTCCACGTTTCTGCCAGGACGCTATTCCTGCAAAAATCACACACGCGTAACTGCCAAACAGCAGGAACATGGAATTCTTTTTTTAAATCTTGTTAGTCGTTACAGCTGGTAGGAATCGCTGCTGACACCTCAACAAATCCAAAAACAAATAGGTATTTTTAGAAACTTATTTTTAAATTAACTGCTGGGCTGTCTTCAAAAAATAAATCTGACAGGTTCCTTAAGAGAAAAGCTAGTCCAAAGTTCTCTTTCCTTCAGGTAAGGCCGAACATCTACCCATCTATCAGGCTGTTGAAATTCTTACCTATTTTTAAGGACTCCTAGAAAATGAGACTTCACAGCCTCAATTGGTAACTTATTTTACTCATTTAACCTCAACAGTAGGAAATGAGTAGCCTTTGGGCTCACATATCTTGTAGAATGACCTAGGTATTTGTAGGATCAAAGACTTTACCTTAGTTAAATATATTTATATAATGAGGGACAATAACAAGAATAAAACAAAACAAAATAGGTTTTCCATCCTAACATTCCAGTAAGATAGGAGTTATACCCTGGATCTTGGAGTCCGTCATAAATTCACTTCTATTAGTATAAATTATTCTTCTTTGTCCTTTTTGCCAATCCATACAGACCTGTTTTTATAAACTTGACTTCTCATTCATTCAGTGTTTATG